GCACTTATATCGAGAGCGGCGGCAGCACAGCGACGGGGGCAGTTACACCGAAGGTGGCGGCGAGCAGCAACGGGGGCTCTTACACGGGCCAATAGCACTATCGGGTATATCGTCGAAGGCAGCACACAAACCACAGGCGGCGGAACTACAGTGATAGGGGCACTTCTATGAACGGCGGGGACCACTCCTGAACCACAAGAGATGATGCGGGCACTTATATCAATGGCGGCGGAAGCTGCAGGACGGGGGCAGTTACGTGGCGGCTACCTCGTTCGAGCGGGGGCACTTATGTCTCGTGCTTCCGAGGACTGTTCAAGACTTTGCTTCGTCCGGCCCTCTTCTGAATATCAAAAGTATGTCTTTTATCTCAAGAGTCCACTATATTCACCCCGATTTCCGGGCAGATAGTATACTGGCTAATACATGCTCAAGCACAGTCTTTTTATACAAACTGGAGGTCACTAAAGGAGATGAAAGGAACTGAAGAGGATAAAACCGTGTCGCGCCGCCAACGGGTGGATGGCCAATCGTACCGCAGGGATATCTAAACCCTGAGTATTCTGTCCTCCCGCTGGAGTTACTCCACATGAATCCAGAGCCTAGCCTCTATGGCGTGCTCATCTTCTGATGGTTGTGTCAGGTACAATCCGCTTCTTCTAACTCCCGCTGACTCACAAGGTTGACTCGATCCTGCCGCCAGTCGTCTTTCAGTCTTCTAGTCGCGATGGGACCTACAGATGTAGGATTCTAGCTTCCGGGAGGCGTGGTCCGGGACGAACGAATGGTTCCCAACCTCTTCGTATTGCTTTCCAGCCGCTGAGCTGCAGCCGCTAGTCCGCCATCAAATAATGTGATGTTCAGATGCTAGCTTCATGTTTATCATATGCAGTTTACACTTCGGCTGCCGCTGGCTGGTACACCCGCTGGTCGTCCTAATGCTTCGTAGTGTCATAAGGGTGTGGCCGCCAGTGAAGGTCACCTTCAGCTGGCTTCTAAGGAGTGGGTAGTAGTAGCGGGAGGAACTTGCACGATCCTCCGGCTAGACTCCGTATCTTTCTGTTAGCACAGCAGAACTGCATCCCATAGCCCAGCGTAGTAAGTTCCCGCCAGAACGCAGTACCCGTAAGAGCCCTTGTTAAGTCGTCGACCCGTGTAGTTGTTTAGCCGCTGGCTTTCGGTCATCAACAGCGTAGCCTACCACCTCCGGGGAAAGGTGTACGCTCTCAAATCTAATGCCTCTCCTTTCCCATACTGATAGACGTGAAAGCGAATAAAAACTGGTGTTTTCATGCTTATCCTGTTACACGCCCTATCAGCGTATCGGGCCATGTCTCTGCTCTCCCTACTTACTTTGCTTTACTAATCGCTTCTCGCCACCTGGCAATCGCATGCGCCGCTCACCCCCCCCCGCTTGGCGTGGTTCAGATTCAGCTTGGCTGGCCGCGCGGCGGGTGGGCGTGCTCGTAGGCCGCGCATACGGATGCGTCGCGCCAAGTTCTCTTCGCCCTCACCCTTCATTCAGCGCTTTCTTTCTGTTGCGTGTGCCGCTGGCGTGCTCTGGTTGTTTTCTTTTGTCATCATTTTGTTTCTCTTTTCCTTACTTCCTTGCTCTCCTCTCCGCCTCCTTTCTTTGCCTTTGTTGCGGTCCTTTCCTTCCCTTCCTCTCCTTTCCGTTTATCCTTTTCCCTCCTTTTCGGAATCCGAAATTCGGGCGCCTTTAAATAAATCGCGAGGAGTTCAACTCACCCAACCTTCAACCTTCCGACTCTGGGATGCCAATTAGAACCAGAACCGGAACGAGGCGAATCAAGCAATGGTGTATGTGTTTGTATTGTTTCCGGCTTGGGAGGTGGTTGTGGATCTAGATACCATACCCACCACGGAGCCGTCGGAACGGATGATGTTCACAGTTCACAGTTCGAATCTGGGGTATTGTATTGATGGCGCGGCGCCCCGCGATCGTGAGGTACATTTTACTTACTGTACTGCGCGCGAAACGAACCCCAAAAAGCTTGAAAACCGTAAAAAGGAGTTCAATGTTCCTCTTAGGACTCGGGCCTGATTCGAACAGGCGGCTTCCGCATGTAAAGTCTCCAATAACGCACATGTGAAGTGGACGCGGGCCATCCGCTACCGAGTCTTCCTTCTACCTAGGTTGAAGCTTGGTTGCATGCGGGCTAATAAGTACTACTATGGTGAGGGAAACGGAAACGGAAACGAAAACGCCGGAAGTTCTTTTTTGGCTTGAATGCGCAGCTAGCTGGGTTCGCCTCTTTGCACAATTGGTAGAAGAGAAAGAAAGAAAGAGTGTGTATTGACAACCTCCCGAACCTTCCGACCTCTGCGATGCGACCCAGAACCCGGCGCACTGAGTCGTATTTATTTGTACGTGAAGCTAGGGTCTGCAAGAACCCACTGATTCGCCGCGGGCGGTCGGAACGGATAATGATGTTCGGATTCAAATTCAAATCTATGGCGGCTTTAACGTTGGATATTACTATACTAACAGGGATCTTCCACAGCCACTTTCAGGAAATAATAAGAGTCCGCGCATGTGATTTGCCAGCAGAAAGTGCTACTTTCTGCCGGCCTTTTCCCATCAGAGGAAACAGTCTGTTTACACGCCCAAGTAGGAAAGTCGACCGAAGAGTACCACTTTCCGGTCGCCTTTTCGCGCTCAGAAAAGAGGCAATTTTCTCATACCATTCCTTTCACTCGGAAACTAATACTTTCCATAGAGCTTTCCAACTAGGTGGGAATATTGCTATTTGCGATGTGAGTCCATATTCCCAACCCCCTCAAACTAATAAACCTCTTTTTTTCCCACTGTACTATAATCACCTGCCTCTGGTCTCTCTTGGGTCATGAAGATATACTACGGGGTTTCTGATCCGAATCTTTCTTGGTGGCATTTTGGTGGCATTCCTCATGGAGCTGGCCTTGGGACCTTCTGTGAAGTTGATCTAGGGTGGCAAAGGCAACACGGAAGAGCATTCTTACACAGACGGTGTGTCCGCCCCTCCTTTCCTCCCTCCTCAACGTTTCTTTCCTGGTTGCTTAGCTGCGTATGCGGTGCACACTTGCACCTTCACCAAGACCCACGCTTGAAGGAGGAACCACAAGGTAAGTCTCTAATTCCGTGTGGTATGATCATATGAAAACAACACACTCTAGATTAATTATGATATGAGACTGCACTCCTGTAATTGCACGCTGGCCGAGATTAACATGATAAGACTATTAAATGCGGTGAGAAGTCTGAGTAGCTAATCATTACCTAGATTAACCGCACGCCGTGCATTGGACAGATTAAATCTCGGACATGGTACGAGAATTAATCGTGGTACAATGTCTGACTAACAAATTGCTACATAGTTTAAATCCTGTACGGATTAGTTGCCACACAAATTAAATCGTGCACTTGCAGATTTAATCGGGCTTTGCCTGAGAAATGGACGGTGGAATAGATTAGATTAATCCTAGCTACCAGTTTTTCTACTGCACTAAATGTAAGATTAATCTAAATAGTGAATTGGATAATCCAAGTCAAGATTAATTGAGTTCTCTTGGATAGTCCTAGTCAAGATTAATTAGCCGAGCTGATATCACTGCTTACTTTGCTTCATGAATCCCTTCTCGCCACCTGGCAATTGCACGCGCCGCTCACCCCCCACGCTGGGCTTGGTTCACGTTCAAATTAGCTGGCCGCGCGGCGGGTGTGCGTGCTCGTAGGCTGCGCATACGTACGCGTCGCGCCAACTTCTCTTCGCCCTCACCCTTCATTCAGCCCTTCCTATTGCCTGCTCCGTTGGCGTGTTTTACTTTTGTCATCATTTCGTTCCCCTCTTTTCCTTCCTTCCTTGCTCTCCTCTCCTCCTTTCCTTGCCCGTTGTTGCGTTTTCTTCCCGGCGGTCCTTTCCGTTTCTCCTCTCGCCTCTTCTTCGAAATCCGAGATTCGTGCGCCTTTAACTTTAAATCACGAGGAGTTCAACTCCACCACCCTACCGCTGACATGCACAAACCTTAGTTCAACCTTCGGCCTTCGGACTCCGGGGCTGCGAATCAGAATCAGAACCAGGACCAAGCGCGTCGAGGAATGGTTTGTGTTTGTTGATATTGATTTCTGCCTGGGCACTGTGAAGAGGAAACCTCGTGAATTTCAACATGTCATTCACAACCTTATGCTTTGAAATTCCTGATGGTTCACTTTGAATTTCACAATGCTTTGTAAGGACTTCATGACCATTCATCGTGAACAGAGGTGTTGAATTTCCCGAGGTGTTTAGGAACAATTCACAATATTTTTTTCATGATGTACCATCATGACTCCCCAACAATTCATATGGAATAATGGCTTGTCAGAAGTGAAAAATTAATGCCAGGCACTTATGGCCTGGGCACCATTACTGAGAGACTAAGACTATTATCATTGTTAACAGGGTACAGTTCAGTCGAAGTACTAAGTCAAATGTATGTATGTAATTTAATCAAGTGAGGATATAATATTTACTCCTAAGTTGAACTTCAACAACTGCGAAGTCACGCATACATGCAATAATAAAATTTTGGGAGGTCAAGACCTGAGTTTTGTACCTTGCTCGAGCCACCAGGTGCAGGCCCCACACAGCTCCACAACCCTGGGAAAGGCCGAAGTGTCATGAATTCATGTTGAATCATTGGGAATTCAAGACAGGTCAGAAATACTACAAAGAGGTGAGTTGAACCATCACAAATGGTCTCATGAAATTCAAGTACCTAACCCTGATGAAACATAGCGAAATGTGAAATTCAAGAGAATTGTGTTGAATTTCACAATGAATCCTTCTTACAGTGGGGAGCTGGTTGTGGATCTACATACCTACCACGGAACGGATGATGTTCACATTTCACAGTTCGAAGCTAGTGTATTTATGGCGGCGTGTCCGGTGATTGAGCTACTACTGTGGCTACGCGCGAGGCGAACCCCAAAACCGTAAAAAACGTGATTGAAAGCATGCTTAGGACTCGGGCCTGATTCGAACAGGCGGCTTCCACATGTAGGTTCAGAAATCCTGTCCATGTTAAGCAGACGCGGGCCATCCGCTACCAAGTCTTGCTCCTACCTACCCACATTAAAGCTCTTGGTTGCACACGGGTGAATAAGTGAGATGTTGAGGGGAACGAAAATGGCGGAAGTATGGGAGTAATACTGTTGCAATATTATTGCAAAAGGCACGAAAATTGCACGCCTTTTTGAGCGCGAAAATAACACAGCTTAAAAGTACACAGGTACTTTCCACCCCAAGAAATTACACAACTTAGCAATGGCCGGAAAGACACAGGTTCACTGTGCCATGAAAAAGATACACCACTTATCACGACTTTATATTAGTCACAGCCACATTTTTTGGAACACAATGCACAAGCTAAGGACTGCCAGAAACATGCACAACTTGTGTGGAAAGCCAAATCAAAAAAACGCACAACCTTGGGTCAAGAGTTTACGACAGATGTCATAGCGTGACATCGACCAATGCGGCATTGATTGATGTGCCAACACCGGCATTATGGCCCGCAGGCCGGCCATCCTTTGTATGTCTTTGCACTCATCCCTCTCCCCTGTTCCTTTCTCTTTTGGTGTTAAATAGCAGTCCAATTATACAGCTGGTCTGCGCGCAGTTTCCTTGACAGAATGATGGGGTTAATAGCAGCTGTTATGGATTACGCCACAGCCAAACGACTGTAATCAAGCGACAAGGCTACGTAGTCATCTCTCACTGTTCTCCGTATAAAACGCAGCTGCAATCCAGATGCAAACATCAAGTACTTCCGAAGGCTACATGCCTCTCCATCTGTCTTTGTCCATCTCCCGGTGTGCTGTGTGTGGCGGAGGTCGTTTAGCGGATGGGTTTATCACGTAACTGAGTCCCTTTCAACCAAGCCTGAACACGCAGCCCATAGGCAATAGATCATGGGGGGCCAATCAAGGGAGGATCAACGCCTTATGTGTAAAGTGATGGGTGCAGCTGAATGAGCAGAATCTTAATCGCAAGTGGTTTGCTTATAAAACGGTGACTTGATCCAAAGATCACTCAAGCCGAATAAGCCGCTTGCCGAAATTTGAAACTCCGGCAACACTTCAGTGAGCGTCACATGTGGTCACACATCTCCGATTCTAATTGTGTGCCAAAAGGTCGTGTAAATATAGACCGCTGCCCTGAAGTTGTGTCTTTGTTTTGGGCTGCACCATGTTGAGATTTTTTTTTTTGCAAGGGTTCAATGTGTGCATATCCTGTATGTGACAAACCTGTGCTTTTTTGCCATGTCATGTAGGTAGTGTTGTGAAATTTTGGGACTTCCAGAGGTTGTGTTATGTTTGGGCACAAGTTGTGAATCCATGGGTGGTTTACCTTGGACCTGTGCCGTTTTTCACTAATTCAGTTGAAGTGGTGCAGTTTTTGATAAAAATACCCTAGGTTGGGTCCCAAATAATATTGCAACGCTATTACAACCATACGGAAGGTCCTTTTTGCCTTGAATCTACAGCTGGGTTGGCCTCTTTGCCCGATTGGTAGAAAATTAAAAAGGAGAGAAAGAAAGGGTGTGTAAGTAAGGTGATGAGCGCTGTGGCTTTAGCCTGTGTGTGGCATCTGAAAGGGTAGATCGCTGGGAAGGCTAATCTAATTCAAATAGAATCTTGGCGTGGCGAAGAAAAAATAACGGTCGCCGACATAGAACTTGGGCCTGATTCGAACAGGCGGCTTCCGCATGTAGGGTCTCCAACCGAGCTCATGTTAAGCGGACGCGGGCCATCCGCTACCGAGTCTTCCTTATACCTACATTGAAGCTTGGTTGCACGCGGGCGGATAAGTGTTATCGTGAGGGAAACGAACACGGCGGAGATTTCGTTTTGGCTTGAATCTGCCTCTGTGCACAATTGGTAGAAGCGAAAGAAGGAAAGAGTATGTAAGTAAGCTGCTGAGCACTGTGGCTTTTATGTGTGGTATCAGGGAGGGTGGATCACTGGGAGGGCCAATCTAATTCAGATAGAATCTTGGCCTGGGGAAGAAAAAATAGACGCCCCACAATAGAACTCGGGCCTGATTCGAACAGGCAGCTTCCACGGTGACGAGAAGTGGTACCGCTTAGACGTTGCAGATGCGGACCATCTGCGACAGAGTCATATTTCTACCGCGAACGCGACCTCAATATAGAGTATAAGGATGATAGGGCACTGAATGAGAACCCTTTCTCATTGGTGAACAACAGAAACTCGGATGCTGCAGCCGATTCGGAGTTTAAAGATCGATCGCAGCATCGAAAACAAAGCAAAGAAAACCACAGCCGGTCCAGCTTCGCTGTGTGCGTGATCGTAAGCTGCGCATACGCACGCGTCCGCTAACTTCTCTTCGCTCTCACCCTTCATTCATTCAGTCCTTTCTCTCTGTTGCGTGTGCCGTTGGCGTTTTTGTTCTGGTTGTCTGCATTTATGATCATTTCGTTTCCCTCTTTTCCTTCCTTCCTTGCTCTCCTCTCCTCCTTTCCTCGCCCCTTGGTACGGTCCCTTCCGTGCTCTCCCTTCCGTTTCTCTTTTCGCCTCTTTTTCGGAATCCGAAATTCGGGCACCTATAACTTTAAATCGCGAGGAGTTCAACTCACCTTATCGCTGACACACACAACCTTCAACCCGCAATCTTCCGACTCTGGGGATGCGAATCGGAACTAGCACCAGAACCGGAACGAGGCGCGTTGAACAATGGTATGTTTGTAACGATTCCTGCCTGGGAGCTGGTTGTGGATCTACATACCATACCCATCAAGTGGCCATCGGAACAGATGAGATTCAAAGTTCCCAGTTCGAATCTAGGGTATTGGATTTAAGGCGGCGCACCCCGCGATCGTGAGGTACATACCACTTGCTGTTCTACGCGCGGAGCGAACCCCAAAAAGCTTGGGTAAGGCTTAGGACTCGGGCCTGATTCGAACAGACGGCTTCCACATGTATGGTCTCCAACCGGAGGTTAAGCGGACGCGGACCATCCGCTACCGAGTATTGCTCCTTCCTACTTGAGTATATTGAAACTTGGTTGCGTGCGGGCAGATAATTATAAGTACGACGGTGAGGGAAACAGAAACGAAAACGGGGGAAGTTCCATTTTTGCCTTGAATGCGCAGCTGCACGATTGGTACAAGAGAAAGAAGAAAGAAAGAGTGTGTAAGTAAGTTGATGAGCGCTAGCGGTGTGGCTTTTGTGAGATCCGGGAGAGTGGATCACTGGCAGGCCTAATCAGATAGAATCCTGGCCCGGGGAAGAAAAAATAGGGGCCGCCAAACTAGGACTCGGGCCTGATTCGAACAGACGGCTTCCACATGTATGGTCTCAAACCGGAGGTTAAGCGGACGCGGACCATCCGCTACCGAGTATTGCTTCTTCCTACTTGAATATATTGAAACCTGGTTGCGTGCGGGCGGATAATTACTTATAAGTACCATGGTGAGGGAAACGGAAACGGAAACGGCGGAAGCTCCTTTTTTCCTCGAAAGCGCAGCTGGGTTGGTAGAAGAGAAAGAATGAAAGAGTGTGCAAGTACGTTGATGCGCGCTGTGGCTTTTGTGGGATATGGGAAGGTGGATCACTGGCAGGCCTAATCAGATACAGTAGAATCTTGGCCTGGGGAAGAAGAGATAACGGCCGCTGAAATAGAACTCAGACCTGATTCGAACAGGCGGCTTCCACATGTAGCGTATCCAATCGGGCTCATGTTAAGGAGACGCGGGCCATCCGCTACCGAGTCTTGCTCCTACCTACATTGAAGCTTCGTTGCATGCGGGCGACTAACTACGGTGAGGGAAACGAAAACGGCGACTTCTGCAAGACTCGGGCCTGAATCGAACAGGCATCTTCCACGATCACTTGCAATAATGCCGACTAGATGTTGTGGATGCGGACCATCCGCGACCGAGTCATATTGCTACCGCGAACACGACCTCAATATAGGGTATAAGGATCATAGAGCACTGAACGAGACCCCTTTCCCGTCGTGTCCGTCCTGAACAACCGAAACTGGGAGGCAGCAGCCGATTCGAAGTTTCAAGATCGATCGCAGCATCGAAAACAAAACAAAGAAAACTATCACAGCCTCCCCCCTTTGCGCTCCTGTTCACTGCATTCAGGGCCTTGGTAGACAGAGGTCTGTCTACCACGCAGCGCCAGAGCGCGGCAGACCCGACGGCGGCAGAGTATGTGGAGCTAGGGCAACCTGGACCTACATTCAGAACTCCCCTTCTTGACTCAATTCTTGGCAGCAAAATCTCCCATACCGATAGTACCGAATTGATGCCGAAAACGCCATTGCCGATTGTGCGACGTCAAATGTCATAGTATTTCGCTTTGTTTGCTCTCTCATCAATTCTCGCAGGCAAGTTTCTCAAGGTCCGTAGAAAAGCCAGCATCTTGGGTAGGATGGTAGTGCAATGAATCCTATGTTATTTCCATTGAGCTTGTGCCGGCAAGTGGGAGGGACCAAAGAGAGGATGAGGGCCCTCTTGCCACGACAGCGCTAGGCCGACGGCGCCGAGGCGTCATATTATTATTAGACTTACATAAATAAAACATCTGAGTAGTAAGCGATGATCATAGTGCCCTAGGCACGTTGAAATGAGGGCCTACAGAGCAAGGCGAAAAGGAGTCGGCGAGGTCGCCGCGGGCTGTGGAGGTTAGACGAGGAGGGCGGCAGGGTCTGCCGACCTTGCCTCCGACAGATGGCGGCCAACCGCGGCGCACGTGCCTCGGCAGACCCTGTCTCCGCGGGTAGCCCGATTCTCACGGTGGGCGGCCAATCGCGGCAGGCCGGGTCTACCCGAGCCCTGAATGCAGTGGTTCCCTCTCCCAGTTGGTATTCATGAATCCGACCTCCGTGGGACTACTTATCATGACGGATGACGTTAGAATTTCTTTAGCTATTGCGGCAATCGCAATGATGCTTACTATATATACTCGACCCAAAAAGCAAAGACGCCGGAGAAAGGTAAGAATGACTCGGCCCTGGATCGAACAGGCGTCTTCCACCATCTCAAGAAATTTGACATTCTAGATGTTGTGGATGCGGACTA